CTCGAAAATCGGGCATTTTCGGCCGTGTTAATTCACACCTTATAATTCTTTCGCTCACTGCTGCTAGACGAGAATAAACAAAATAGAGCTTCGTAATCGACTTGGAAACCGGCAAACTACGGCCACGCTACCGTTCGATGCTAATCATCATCGAAAACCGAAAAAATAAAATGTTTCTCTAAAAGGTGTTTGCCCTAAGTATTACCGGCGAGTAAAAGCGGATAACTGACTGCGGCCAGACTCAGCTCGAGCAGTATTGGCGTCTACCTTAAACCGGGATCACACGAATCACATGGACGGTGAATTACGCCTGTGGAACGGCATTTTTTTCTCTCCTTTTGGTTGACGTTACCTGCCCCGCGGCGATAATACGTGATAATTGACACCTTGTACGTGTTACGTATGTACACAGGTACGTGTTCGCGTTTCAGACACACACTCACATTAATACGTACATTGTGAAATTGTGCTACACCCAAAGCTAGTTTCGCCATATGGTTTAACCATTTGCCTCTTCCGATTCAATGTAGATATTAAACGTCTTTATCGATCGATAAATTAGATAGAAAATGATATAAATATAATACGAAAGGAGTGTACAAATTTTAGAACATTTGAAAACTTTATGAAGTCGCATTGGTTTTAAACTTCTTTTTATTGGGCTTTCGAAATGTATTTATAACGTCGCCACCCTTTATTACGAATATTGCTTTTCAATTTTCGCTTGGTCGCCGGTTAATCATAAATAAGCTAACCGAAGCAAGAGCTGATATGCGACAAATAATAGGATTTTTTTTAAAGAAAAAAATCTATATCGCAAGACCGCATCTTAAGAGTTGTTGACCTCGGGAAATGGCTGTTGCAAGTATATCCGTCGGGATTAATCCATTTATATGTGTCAATATGCATTTGCCGACGGTTGGAATTATGAAAGCGGATAATCGAAAAAGACATTAGACAGTGGAATTTTTCTATTGAATAATAGATATCCTCTCCTTTCTTTGACACGATGTTCCGAATTTCTGAGAAAATAACCCTCGCACAAGAAATAATCCTCGCTTCTTTACGTATCTTTCTGTAATTTTTCGTCATTTTAGTTATTTCTTTTTTCTTTCCTGTGTGATCGCCGTACGTCGAAGTAACTACGAAACGTGTAGAGAAACGAGTGGTCGATCGTTCAACTTGCCTTTCCATTTCTTCAGCTTCTTCACGCCTGTGTTCTCTTAAAACGTTTCGACCGTATCATCCGTGTATTTGTAAGAAAGAAAGAAGGAGAAAGAGAGGCCGAACTCGTACGATGGGTAGAATTTCGTGAGACAAAGAATTTCACACACGTCTCGCCTTCTGAGGCACCTTCGAAGGTACAAGGTCCCTGGATAAGCTGAAGCGTAACTCAACCAAGACAGGTTGCATCGGGATGTTATGGTAAACATACAGCGAAAGATCTCGCACCTAGGTGCGAGACCAGGCTCGAAGTTTGCCTGCGTAAACAGACGAGAGGACGGAGTTTATGTTTCTGTCTCAAATTCCTTACATGCAAGCGCATAACCCCTTCGAGCGATAATGCACCGTAACGTTTAACGACTTCGTCAAAGAGGTACCGGGTTCCTCGATACTGTTTGCATATCGTCTTCTTTACAGGGCCACGGTCCAAAAGTTTGGCAAGACGATTATCGAACCGCCTATAAGCGTCTGCGTTTGTCCGGCCCGTTAATATTCGTCTCCTCTCGGCATAGACAAAATATTCCTCTCACCTAAAAGATCCGTTTGTGATCGAACCAAGTCTAAATTACCGTTTTAAAGACTAACACATAAAACTTTATTATCCCGGGAATACCATTTCCAATGACCTCATAGAATCACCCGTTGTAAAACATGTTGAATCGTCATTTAAAATTGCATAAACATGATCATGATCTTCTGGTGCCGCGACAACTCTTGGTTCGTAACGTTCTACGAAGACTATTCGCTTTTACACGACGATTAATTCCCGTCTCTATCAAAGCAGTATTATCCCCGTTAATACGTAATAACTAGTTGCCCGAACAAGAGAAAATTACACGACAAACTTATAAACTAACTCGACTACGTCCAAAGAATCCTCTTTGGGGTGCAGCTCGAGTGAAGATAATCTATGTATAAGATTGACTTACCAAGGGAATTCAGACCATAACTAGCTTGATAGACGGCCTGCGACGGACTGCTGATCGGTAGTCCAGAATTACCAAGACCTAAGCTCGAGCCAAGGCTTCCTGTACTTTGCTGACCAAGTTGTCCTAAACTTTGGCCGAAACCACTCATTCCCATGCCTCCTTGTCCCAGTTGTCCAAGACCTGCAAAACAAGCGGCTTTAGACAAACAGCCGCGTAACTCGTTTCAAAAAGGGTTACGAAGGGGAAGGTTTGTCGATCAAGGGGAAGAACGAGCAGCGAAGAAAAGAAAAGAAAAGACAAAAAGAAAAAAGGAGAAGAAAGAACGACACGCGCGAATCGTCGGGCAGCTGTAAAACCCAACGATACGTACGGATAATTTAATCTGTCCGGTACAATGGACACACGAAATTAAATTAGAAGTGGAATACACACTGTCGGGACTTCGACTACTGTTCGGTTATTTAAGACGTGTCTCCCTCGCAACCGCGCGTGAAATCTGGTAATAAGATTACGCGTATGCGAGATGACACGACGAATTGAATATAATCAATGTAAAACCAGGCAACTTGTTGCGAGTAGATTTAATAATCTATTCGCGATCGCTCTTCCATCCTTCGTTTTCGCGGAAATTTCACCGCAGGGAAACGAATTTAAAGCGACGCTCTAAACCTTGATCGATCTTAATTAAAAAAAAAAAA